CTCTCCAGATACTCCTTCACACACTCTATTCTGCTACATGACTGTCTCTCAGGTCATTCACACTCTGATTTGACACATTTCTAATTCTTGCAGGTCTCGTACACATCCATCACAAAGTGAAGTTACTCAGATCCACTGAGAGTCAGATGATTAGTTTGACACTTTACTTCCCTCGGAGTGACCATAAAAAAATCTTCCTTACACAGCAGGTTTCTATTTTGTGAGTTAAATACTAAAACAAAAGTACAATCCAAAGGAACATCACAGTCCAAATTCAGTGGTCCAAAAAACTGCAAGACAACCTCCTTATTTCTCAGACTTTTCTGTATTACAACACTAGGAGGCACACTTTACCATGAATGACCATGAATCCAAGTATTTGAACTGTGTAACATATGAACTCAGTAGCTTTTCATCTGCAGAGCAAAACTGTTCACCATCATTTACCAGTTATATTAAGGAATAGTCATAGTTTGCAAACTGTACAGTGTGCTATAATAGTGACATTTGGTTCTAACAGTAGGGCCCTACTCAGTAAGTACACTGTAAAAAATACACCTTTATAAAGGTTTTAACAGCAGTAATATTCTGGCAGCTGTGACTCCAGAAGATGAGCATGCAGTCATGGAAAATAACCATCTTCTAAAAAATACAGTAATTAGCTGTCATTTTAAATGCATGTTTGCTTTTAATTTTAAACAAAATCTTGTGTATTTAAAAGTTTTTTCATGTTATTTAAAAAGATACTAACCTTTAAAGCCCAGGAATTTTCCATCCATAGATCAAACCATTGTCAATACCAGGGGCTCTCAACCTTTTACAACTTAAGACCCACTTTGATAATAAAAGGACCAAGGACCACCTTCTCAAAATAAGTGAGAAAAAAAAACATAAAAAACAACACAAAATAAATAAACTTAGCTTAAATATGCATAATACCAGTGTGGCCACAGCCTGCTCATTGAGAATGGCTGATCTATACCGCTTATCCCTGATGAGGGTCACAGGGGGCTGGAGCCAATCCCAGCTGACACTGGGTGAGAAGCACTGTCCACTCTGGACAGGTCGCCAGTCTATCACAGGGCTGACATGTAGACAAACAACCGCACACTCACTCCTACGGGCAATTTGGAGTCACCAGTCAACCTAAGCTGCATGTCTTTGGACTGTGGGAGGAATCTGGAGTACGCAGAGAGAACCCACACAGGCACAGGGAGAACATGTAGACTTCACACAGAAAGGCCCCGGGTCAGCTGGAACCCTGAACCTTCTTGTTTGAGGCAACAGTGCTACCCACTCTTTAAATATGTAAATGCAGTATCATTCTTCTAAATGTGAAATGTGTCTATAATTGGACAGCTGCCATTTGTGTGAGGAGGATGAAAGCTTTGCTTCAAGTGTGACTGACATACAGTCCTTTGCATGTTCAGTGTGTAAGATAAGGATCAGTTGCAGTGTTTGGGCGTCTATAGATTAAGTTTTGGTTGGCATAGTAAACAGTTTTTTTTTTTTTCAGATGCAAAGAAAAATCATACAAACAGGTGTTTACTTGTGAGATTGTCATCTGCTTCATTTAGACACAAATATCAGTGCAACTCCAGCTGTGCCTGCAGCGTGCATCCTTACCAAAGTGCAGCTGAAAAGCTGAAAGTCTGTGCAGTATGAGTGGATTATAGTAATATGTCTCAGGCCAGGTGCATGATGGGAATGGAGCTGCTTATGTCAGGGCTGTTTGGTTAGGATATGAGGCAGATTATGGAAATGTGATGGTGCGGATTTCAGATTCCTCTGCTGCTCCAAGACTTAGAGTTTTATCTCAAACAGATGAACTCTGTCTCTGTTCTCCTTCTTCCGTCTCTCTGCTCAGTGTTTTCCTACTTGGCAAGATAATCAACGGAAACATCACTAAACAACTGCACTGCAAGAAATGCTCCCTTCTCTCCTTCAGCTTCAAAGTGGCTCATTTAAATTATCTTTTTTTTTCTCAAGTGTTTTATTTACCAGACAGATGCACAGGACAGACAAGGATTTACTCTTCAGACTCTTTGCCACCTGTGGTACATTGTCTTTCATCACATCAGTTTCACAAAGTGGTGCTTTCATTGTTAGGGTTTGTGCAGAGAGTCACGCCAGCAGCTCTATGAGACTGTATATGCAGATTCAAAGAGCTGGGCCAGTGGATGAGACCTGGCTTTGCAGCCCTGTGGCCCCAGATTCAAAAGGCACCCAGCAGCAGTACAGGAAAGCTGAGAAAGGTTAATGGAAATAGAGCAAATACAGCCACTACTACTGCTTCACTCCACTACATGAAGGAATTTTAAACAAAATGGAGGAAAAGTAACAGTCTGGAAGGTCCCTGTTCTCTGCAACTTGTCTTTGATGAGTTCCAGGGATGTAACACTGCATCTGGTGGCATCCCTCAATATCGGTTACACAGCAGTCTGTCCAATTGTTGTCGAGATATTTCCACTAAGCCACTAATATCAACCCCCTGGTGTTGCGGGGGGGAAATTCAGACGATAACCAGTCAGTACGACTCTGGGGACCATGGATGTTTTTATCCATCTTTGGTGATAATCCATCAAATGCTGTAGCTGTTGTGATACTTCAGTAGGGGTGTGGCTGTAGGGACGGCCAGTCATTCGGTTGGTTGGCCACTGTGGCTCAGGCTGAGATGTCCCAGCAAACACTGGATGCATTGGCAGGAAGTGTTCAACAGACATTCATGGTGTTCAGAGGATGACTGAACCTCCTCGAGGATGCCTGAACCTTCTTCAGCAGCAACAAAACCTCTTCAAGGCCCTTTCCAGTGACTCGTGCAACCTCCCCCAGGACCTATCTCATAGTCTCCAGCTGAGACCAGTAATCTGCATACGTTCCACTTGTAATAGCCTCCATCTGGTGAGGCAGATTTAAAGTCTAAAGAGAGTCTCATTATTTATTTTCAGGTAAATTTAATCTGCAGATTCTGGTTTTTGAGAAAACGGGCGAGTCAGCACCAGCATGTTCTGCTAAATTAGGTGTCAGTTACACAAAGACAGATGAATATATTAGTGATGTTGTAGCTGTCGCTCGTCCCTCCAGCTCCATTAACATCCTGTTGCTGAACCTCACCCCTTATCTCCTTCACCGTGTCTGCATAAATGAGCTGTCAATCAGACAGACGGCCCTCAAGCCACAATTACTTCAATATATATTACCTCAACGCACAACAGAGGATTAAAAACACTTTCAGTGCTGTTGGTTTATTCTGATGCAAACAACTGAATGAGGACAGAACAACACCTGACAGAGTAAAAGAAGTGCCAGAATATTAATGATGCAACTGAAAAAAGAAAAATATATGAATCATTTACAGCTCAGCTTATATTTCCTGTTCCTTTTTATATCCACCATGTTTATGCTTAGTCAGTAAAATGTTTTTCTTGGTATTTATGAGTTGACATTGGCTCGGTTTTTTCCACATAAACTGTGGAGCAAAATAATCCTTTCATCTTTCTCAAGGCCCCCTACAGTCTTTTCAAGGACCTGTACAACTTCTTTAAGGAATTCTTTCTAGAACTACTCCTCAAGGAATCCTCAAGGGCCATCTAATCTTTCCAGGGATCCACAGAATTTACTCAAAGACCATCAGCACCTCCTCCAGGACTACGACACCCTCAAGGTCAGCTATGGACCCATAACTCCTATGAGGAATTTTAAAGCCTCCCCAGGAAATTCTACACCTCTTTAAGGACTCCTACAATTTACTTCCACATCACTACAGTTCTTTTAGTGAACCCTAAAATGTCATCAAGGCCCCTGCAACCTTCTTAAACATCCCTACATCCCTTTGCAATGTGCTTCAGGACCTCTTCCAGTCCTCTCCAACTTCTGTAAGGACCCTACATTCTACCCAAGGCTCCCTACAGCCCCCTTAACTCACCCAGAATACTACAAAGCCTTCAAGGATCCCTGCAACCTGTTCATGGACCCTTGTACCCATTCAGTGACCACTACAATACTTATAGAGATTCCTACAACCTCTTCAGAGTCTATAGTGTCAAAGCCCCTATTACCCCTTCAAGGACCACTCCCACCCACTTATATCATTTTTAAGGATCCCTACAAACTGTTCAAGGACCACCACATCTTCCTGGACCTTTACAGGTGTCAGGGACCAAGCAGTAAGGCAAAAGACACAGCTTCCAAAGTTCAAAATAAAGGGCTTTTTATTAACCCAAAAGTAAGAAAAATACAAAATTAACATCAGATAAATTGGGCCCTAAAAGAGGTCAACAAAAGATAAGGAAACTCAAAATACAGCAAACTGAACTGTCCATTACCTCAACAAAACCAACTGACCTCGCAAATGACTGACTGACTGACTGACTCTCACTCACTCACTCACTCACTCACTCACTCACTCACTCACACACACACACACACACACACACACACACACACACTCTCCCCCCATTCTTATATTGGGCACTTGGTGTAGTCCAGGCCTACTGGGAGGTATTTAAATCTGCTGCTTCCTCAGTCCAAACTTTTGGCTGCACCGCCAATGTACTGAACTGTACATGCTTATACAGTTATGGAATGAAACCTACAACCTCAAGGACACATACATACAACATGCCTTAAGGGCCCTAACAGATTAACTTGTTTGCAGTGACCCCTCAACGCCCCCTCAAGTATTCATACAAACTCTTCCAGGATGCTACAACCTCTGTAAGGACCACTGGATCCTCACAGGGAGTAGAGAAACATTCAAATAATCATATACTTTACTAAGACTCCCAGAACCTCCTCAAGGACCTTATTTAATCACCTTTCTGCTACTAGTTTCTACTGCAGTCCCTGTAGCTAAAGAGACTAGGTAGCAGTACATACTGCGTGTGTCTTTTAAACTGTGTTTATTCTCTGCGCGGTTGTTATTGAACTTGTTATGTTGTGTAGTTTAGAGCTGCAACCAGCAGGTGGCGCCAAACCCCCACAGAACCGGCCTGGAGCCGGTTTGGCCGGCTGCTTCCTGTTTGCGTCCAGCTGGAGTCAGACCTCTTCCTCATCACAGACGCTTTATTCCTGTTTTCAGTCTAACGTCAATGAATGAACCACCTCTGGACTCCAACGGCAGAAGATCTGTAGCCTGGAAACTTGAGTTTGTAAAAGGCACAAAATGTTGGAGAGTGATGATGGTGCGGGCGAGATAAATGTGTGGTTAAGGTTAAAAAAAGAAGCTGTATCCGTAACTGCTGAAACACGTATGAATCCTTTAAGTTTTAGCTTTCTTTTGCAAACATATTGCTCATGCTTTTTCCAAGGGTTAGTTTGAAGTCTACAGTTTGAGATAAAGGAAGTCAAGGCCACACTGTCCTCTGTGTGGGAGAGGGACTCCTCCTCTGCCAGTAGATTTCCATTCATACAGTATGTCCATTTATTTTTTCTTAATATTCAGACTTGTCAGTATCCAAAAGCACCAACGTGACAGCACTAATGTTCAGTGTGACCCAGAGTAAATGTGTAGTAGGCCTGGGTTCCTGTTTACTCTCTGAGCTGATCTGACCATGTTTCCTGACCTCTTTTGTACTTTATGACTTTATGTACCTCGTTTCTGTTCATTCGTGTAGTGGCTGCTGCACCTAATGCAGTCAAATATCTATCTATTTATCTATCTATCTACATTAATATAAATGGATCATGTATATAATATTATACATTATGAGCTTGAATATAAATTAAGCACATTTCTTCAGAAAGTGTGTGAACTGACTGACTCGACGTTATGTTTCATTCATAAACCTGTTGAATGCGTTTACGCTTCTCTAAACTCCGCCCCTGCCGGATAGACACAGGGACATCCGCTGGTGAATACCCAACATTGATTCAGAGGAGACAGACGGACGCCGTCTTCTTTTTAAACTGTCTCATCTGTCTCTACAGGAGCTGGAGTGTCGTCTCTCTGCCGGCGTTGGCCCGTGTTTCCTGGGATCAGCGGCGACACACGAACCGGTGAAACGACCGTCAGCGGACAGGTAGGACCGGTGAGCGTCGGTACTAATCCAACGGTCCCTTAAAATGGAACAGTATGTGGAAACAGTTTAATGATGTGCGCGGCCACACTGTGCCTGTAACTTTGCTCCAGCGTGCCTGCGGTGCTGAGGAGTCTCTCATGCTGGTCCCACGGACACGCTCCCGTACAATGCGGCTACATGACACTGTCTGCTAAGGGTTCGTCAGCGATAAGTGACAATGATCCACGGTGAAACCGTCATTACACGTCACGAATCAGCCAGTGGTCAGAAACTGAAACAATTGGTGCATAAAGAGTTGACTGGCAGAAAGTTAACTGTGGGAGAAGTACTCAGAAGTACCACAGTGCAAAAATACTCTGTTACAAGCAAAAGTCCTGTATTTTATATCTTAAATAAAAGTACAAAAGTATTAACATAATCATGCTGTACTCATCCTGCAGAACGGCCCATTTCACATTGGATCATAGTGACTGATGCATTACTGTGTTACTGTGAAGTACTGTCCATCCTGCTGGGTAGCTGGTGGACTTCCCACCAGGACCAGTAGAGTCTGATGGTCCTACTGGGTTTGGTTTGATTCATGTGATTCTGGAAAGGATCTGAAGTTATCAGATATGTACTGCAGTAAAAAGTACACGGTTTGTCCCTGATGTGTAGTGAAATCACAGTATGAAGTAGCAGGATCAAGTACAGATAGCAGCCTTTAATGAAAAATCCAGCCTTGTCACATCACAGGCACATATTGTGTTTTGAAAGTGTTTATCAGTCTAAACACAGGACAAACCATCCCCGGAGTTGTTTCCTTTATTTGTACAAAACCTCAGACAAACAGAAAACCCTTGTTGAGATTTTCTGCCTTGGTAGCAGCAGTTAAAAAAACAGCAGCTTCAATCATTTCAGTATTTAGTTTTATTTTTACCTTTGTTTTAAGATAAATGTTCATAAAGCCAGGTGGCAGAATGTTCACCCTGAAAACCCAGATTCTTTATATCAAAATGACCAAATAAGCAACAATCAGTGTTAAAGATCAGAACATGCTAACAAGCACAAGGTCAGTTACAGACTCAACTGCCTTCATCCTTTTTTGTCACATTCATCTAAAACACACTGGAGTTTGATTTGATTTGATTTGATTTATTCTTTCAAGCATGTAAAAACAGTTGATATGACAGCACACATAATTTTACACATAATCCAATATCAATTTGCTTATACCTAGTACATGCTTGAATGGAGTAGGAAGAAGTCAGACTTATCCAGTCCTACCCCCTAACATCATCTTACAATCACTGGATTGCAAACAGTAAATAATTCACTTCTACCCACACAAGTATTATACTAAAAAAGATTATACAGTGTTAACATTCTTACATAATTACATTCTTAAATAATTATCTTCTACACCATACAAGTAATATACTAAAGAATTATTACAAAGTGTTAACATTCATACACCACACCCACAATAGTCCATGTAATTAATCATTGAGCCTGTTCTTGCATATATCTTGATTGACACATACCTTTATGTTTATATTTAAACTCGTCAATTCTATTACTATTTTTTATGTCCACACTTAACTTATTCCATAGTCTTACCCCACTTATGGAAATACAAAATCTTTTTTTGGTTGTACGTATAGCATGAATTTTTAAATTTAACTGACCCCTTAAATTGTATCCCCCTTCCCTTTCATTAAATAGTTTTTGAATTCCACCAGGTAATAAATTGTTCCTGGCTTTATACATAAACACTGCAGTCTTATATCCCACTAAATCAAAACATTTTAACAATTTAGACTGTATGAAAGCTCCATTGGTGTGATCCCTATACCCCATCTTATGCACAATTCTTATCGCTCTTTTTTGTAATATATACAATGGTTGAAGTGAGCTTTTGTATGTGTTTCCCCAGTTTTCAACGCCATACTCTAAGTATGGTACCCCCAATTTTCAATTGAAGTTCATTATCTAGTCTACGATTCCCAAATACCATAAATTTAGTTTTATCCAGATTCAGAGATACTATTGTATATTACTATCACACCATTTTTCTATCTTCTCAAGTTCCTGCGAAACCCGTCCAGAGAGTTGCTGTAGGTTTTCACCCGATGCCCATATGGTAGTGTCATCAGCAAACAAAACCACTTTCACTAAATCAGAAACCTTGCATATATCATTAATGTATAGTATAAATAATTTAGGTCCCAAAACAGAACCCTGAGGCACTCCACATACAATGTCCAGCTCACTCGATTGGTATTCACCCAACTTCACAAATTGACGCCTCTGTGTCAAATAACTTCTCGAAGTATCGAGTTAACAAACTGCCACACTGCTGTGAGAAGACAGACGCTGTCCCTGTATTCGCAATAAAGCAGTGGAACCACATTACTTTGCTCTTCATCATTTACTGTAGCGTAGTGTAAAGGTTTGTTTAAAGAATTCTTTTGGATGGTTAGGACTTATTGACTGTGTTAAAACAACATGACCTTCAAATCATAAAAATGATTATATACAACTGTCTGCTGTTAACTACGTTATCAATCGCTTAAATGTATCTAATCTGTTATTAAATAGTTTTTCCAAGATTTTTGAAAACTGTGACAACAGAGAAACCGGTCTATAATTTGTGAAGTTGTGCTTATCACCAGATTTATACAGTGGAATAACCTTTGCTATTTTCATATTATTGGGGAACTGCCCAAGTCGAAATGTTAAAAACATGGGTTAATGGTTTGCATATCCCCTCAATTACCCATTTAACCATTGTCATACTGATACTATCTTCTTCCCACACTGACCCAAACACCTGATGTTCTTGTCATTGTTTTACACCTGTTGACTTTTTATATTTCTCTCCTCCCATAGGTTGCACTGCAGTGATGTCATCACTCCTCCTCTTCCTCCTCCCTTTTATCATCATCATCCCCACATTAACGCTGGACTTTCATTACCACAGTAACCGTGAGATTGAGCAGTACCTCCTCCAGCTCAATGCCTCCAACCCCAGCATCACGTACCTGTACAGCATCGGCCAGTCTGTCAGAGGTAATGTCTGTTCTTTGATGAATCCTTTAGTTTGTAAAAAGTCAGAAAACTGTGAAAATGTTGAAGGTGCGTCTTCAAATGTCTGGGCTTGTCTTACCCTGTACAACCAACAGTCCACAAACTGGTGTCTTTACAGTCATGGAAAACTGGAACTCTTCATATTTGAATTTTTTTTACATTATTCTCAAAGATTCATAGTTAATCACATATCAAAATACCTGATTAATTAACTAATCGTTGCTGCTCTAGTGACAACACATCTGTCTCACCGTTGGCTTCGTATGACTTGTCTATCAGACTCCAGACTTCCACAGCGCTCACACAGTTAAATCCTCTGTGAAAGAGTCTGAACACAACCTGAACATCACAAAGGAGGATTCACTGTTGGATTAGACTGACTCGGTTTGACCTCGGTGTTCCTAATAAACTGGCAGCTGAGTGTATATTACAGGGTTAGCTGTTCTCAGTGTTTTGCAACACAAATCATATGGATCCTGCAGGCAAATATCTGAATTTGAATTTTATATAAAAAGACAGAAATTGCACACACACAGGGGATGACGGTTCATTGATAAAGTACCAGGTGTCAGTCACTACAGCCACCATGACACTGAGTGTGTGTCATATACTGGGACTGCCAACTGAGGTTAATTTAATCTGGGACACAGTAATCTGGCTAATCACACACACATACACACACACAGATTGAATCTGAACTCATACACACACACCGGCTGGCCTGTCTCCAAGCGGTGTGTGTGTATGTGTGTGTCACCTCGTCTGTCTGCAGCCACTTTATCCCTCATGTTGCTGTGATGACTCATTCACACTTTACTAAAGCTCACTGTTTCGTGTGGACACGTTTTTCTGTGGCTGTGTGGACAGATTTGAGTTATATACCATTGTTATGAGGACATTCCATCCAGTTCTCACACCTCAAAGAGCTGTTTGAAGGTTCAGCCTGGGCGGGTGTTGGAGCGGTGATTGTTAGGGTCAGGGGCTGTGTTAATGAGTGTCCTCACAGCTGCATTAAGACCAAAGCATGTGTGTGTGTGCCACAGATCTGCAGAGACTTGCAGCATTTCATTCATCTGCAGCACCGACAGTAAACACACTCAACAACGGTTGTGTTTACATGGAAACTTCTACACAAGAGCTCGGCTTCATCAGAGGCTGCCTTCAGTCCCTTAATCCCCCCGAAGAATGATCATGTTCTTTTTGTTACCTTAAAACCTCTCTCTCATCTAGCACCGCACACACGTTCAGCTTCTTGGCAAAGTCATCCATGGCATTTGACTGGGGTGTGTTGGGTGTCAGATTTACTAAGCCACAAAATTAGCACTGCAACATGTTTTCCATGTAGAGGTGACCTTGTGCTGCCTTTAACCCACAGACTGTATATAAAGATGGATGTCACCACTTCACTCCACTATGCAGAAGGGAAGGTAAAATTCCGTGAATACAGCGGCTGCCATCTTGGCATTTTGTAATCAGTTTCTGCGCAGTAGCAACCAGAAGTGGAGTGACAGCATCAGACTGCCAATCAAAACTGTTAGTTTGCCTGAATCACTTGGTGTCCTCAGTCCCTAAATCTCTTGTAAGTGTTGTGCAGAGGAACGGCAGCGTCACACTGTGGTAAATGCTTCACTATCCCAACTTTTGTTGAAACATGTTGCAGCATCAGGATTGAAGTGAGTGTTTGTTTTGAACAAAGAATAAAACTGATGAGGTGTCACGCCACATAATGTGCTGCTGTGTTGTTTTCAGTGCAACACAGAGCACAGATAGTTTACACATCACTGTTTTGATTTGGGGTTTCTGAACTAACCATAAACACTCCACTTGGCTTTTTGGTCAGGCCATTAACCAGTAATGAACTGGGGCTTATGGGAACTGCAGTTTGTTAAAGACCACAGGTTTCAGAGAATGAATTAGATGGTTGAAAAGATATCAAACAACACTGACTGTGACATCTTCAGATATTTTAGTTGTTTGTAGACCCAGGCATACACAAAAACAGTATGTAGTTACAAATACATGTGCATAGTGGGATATACTGTATGATGAATTGACTGGTCTCGAGCTGACTTTTGTTGTGATGTAGAGCTATACAAATAAAGTTTTATTGAATTCAATTTATTTGTGTTTATGATTTGGTTGAGCAGTAGGATGGGATATTTATTTTGTTTATTTGTATGTTTGTTTTTCCCTGTCTGTGTAGTCACAAGTAAATATTGTAAGCACTGTCTTATTTAAAGCTGACACTACAGTATCTTTCTGCTTCAGCTGCTTCAGTTTATAATGTATATAAAGATAGGTGGTAGATACAAATAAAAATGTTGATCACAATCAAAGGCTGCTAAAATCCAGAAACTGTGAATAAGCAACAACAACTAGCTTTTTTCCCTCTCCCTTCCTCTATGCACATGTGAGCGACACAAGATGAGAAATACTGTTCTAAGGTTGGACTTAACTTATTGGTTACAGATGTTTTCTTGCTTCTGGAACAGAAATTGGTTGTTCAGGTTTCACTTATGTTTGCCAATTTACAGATGGCTTCATGTGTCTGCCATTCGGAGCAGGTATTTGGTTTATCAGAGCATCTTCATAACAACAGAATCAGAACCTTAAAGCTACAGGTACTGAAACCAAAACAGTGAGCTAAAAGACACTAAAATGCTTCATAAGGCTAGGGGGGAACTTGGGAGATCATTCTCTGTGGGATTGTCACTACTTTTCACATTATACATACTCGTTATTAATTTAAAAGGGTGTAACTTTAAGCTCGGTTCTATTCCCTGGAAAATTAGACTGACTGATCCCAGACCAGCTGAAAGTCTCAGGAGATATTCAGCTCCCAGTTAATTCAGTCCTACAGAATCTTGTAATCAGCAAAATAGGTTCCTCACAAATTATGCACAAAGTGTCATTTTGTAATAACTGTGTTTACTCTCTGTCTCCACAAGGTCAGCAGCTGTGGGTGTTGGCTCTGGGTCTCAGTCCCCATCGTCACACCATCGGCATCCCCGAGTTCAAATATGTGGCTAACATGCATGGAAACGAGGTGAGACAACATACATGCACACACACAAACAGGTCCCCTCCCTGTCGACAGAAAGCAGGAATAAAAGGAGACTAACAAAATCAATAAAGGCCATTCAGAGTCAAACACTACACACACGCTTTTGTATTCAGACAACGGACTGTGTGTGTGCGCCTTTGTATTTCTTACATTATGGGGACTGAAACCTGTTAACACACTCACAATGTTGGGACTCGGCCATCCATTGAATTGAGGAGAATGAATCGAAGTTTGGACTAAGAAACTGAATGTCGCATCACTACTGTACTTAACAAGTGGATTGTGAATTTTAGGGTGGCAACATGGTTTAAGGTCAGGGTTAGGTATTAGGGAGGGTTAGGTATTAGGGAAGTAGTGGTTATGGTTAAGGTTAGTATAAGTCTACAGGAAATGAATGTAAGTCAATGTAAAGTCCCCACAAGGAATGAAAACACACCACGTGTAGTGCTCTGTATTATTGTCAAATGGCCAGTATGCTGAGTCAGCACTAAAACATTAGATGTTATAAATCAAATCTGTGGATTTATGAATTCTACAGACACAACAACAGCAATAACCAACTCGGAGAGTGAAAAGACGTCCACTGACAGCAGGTCAAACGTCTCATACTCAGAAATACTTAGTTTTTCCAGCTGCCAGTAGTCATGTCATACAGCTAAAAGTCTGAACCAGCGGCTGCCGGAGTGAAGAGGTGGCGTCTTTAGCACAGAGAGAGTGGGATAAAGAAAGAGCAACAACCAGGGTTAACATGGGTTTGGCTGTTTGACATGGAGAGGGTTAAAAGCAGCCAGAGGACTCAGAGTGGATCCAAATGTGGCCTTCCTCCTTCTGGATGTGTTAGCATCTCAAGCTAACATGTTTGTTTTGGTAGCATTAGCCACCTAGCATGGTCAGGATTTAACATTTCTGTTGAATTAATATGATTTTAATTTGGTAGGAACTGGAGCTTAGTGTCACATCAACAGTAACCAGAGCATTCTGCTGGACTGACATGTTTACTGTTAGCCAGCTAACACTAGCTTCAGATTGGAGGTCACAGTTTGTACAGTTTGTTCCAACCAGGCATCCGTAGTTTACATCATAGCTTCAGCAAATAGGACATGATGGGACGGACAGAGAGCAGTTTATGGTGTCAGTTTGTTTTGAGTCTCACTGGAGCCTCTGGGCTGAAAAGACATTATATCAGATGAGGTTCAAGACAAGGAGGAGGCGACAGTGGTGCAGTGGGTAGAGCAGTCGTCTCCCAACCAGAAAGTTGAAGGTTCGAATCTTGGTGCCTGCAGTCCATGTGTCGAAGTGTCCTTGGGCAAGACACTGAAAAAAAAATTACCCCGGATGGTTACAGCTGTCAGTTGAGTTGGCACCGCAGATGGCTGCCTCGGTTCTGTACCAGAAACAAATTCCTTGTGTGTGTAATATACTTGGCCAAATAAAGGTGATTATCCTTCAAGACAACAATGAATGAATTTATAATGCAGTCATTTTCAAATAAAACAAATACAATGAAATCTATTAATCTAACATTTAATAAAATAAGACAATAAATAAGAAGTGAAAAAGCAGTTTTTATTAAAAACCATCTAAAGGAAACGTTTTGGCTACCTCTGATAAGAATCTAGTCTCCGTGGTGACAGTCAACACTGCATTTGTGTAAAAGCTGGCGGAAATGTCCTTAAATAGACAAGTCACGCCTGGACACACACAATCACATGGTCAGCAAACAGAGGCAGTAGAGTGTGTTGGCTCCAAGGAAATGTCCAGAAAAAGGCCTTTTCACTGAGC